ATTGTGGAAGTATAATCAGCTAGATTGAAAGAGTTTATTTATCAATCTCCTCCAGGTTATCAATCTCCTCCAAGTTAAAGTACTTTAGAGGTAAAGACACTGGAGAAACTGGAAAGAAGGAAAAGGAGAATACTGAGAAGGAAGCACCAAGCAAGAGTACAAAATAATCTGGAAGCAAGAGGTAGGGTCAGAGGTGTAGCTAGAAACCACGGGGCCCTAGTGCAAAAATTGCCCTGTAGCCTCCCCAAACATCCCCCCTGACACATACAGACAAACATATACACATGCAGACACACACATACACACACACACAGACACACATACAGAGAAACATACATACAGATACACAGACACACACATACATACAGACAAACACACACACTAACACACACACATGCAAAATGTTTTAGCCACCCTACATTTTAGTTGCAGGAGGGTGACTTTTCCTGGGGTCCAGTGGCTCAGGCTGATGGGAGAGATCCCACTCTGACTCCCTCCTCTCCTTCCTCCTTCCTTGCGGCACGGTGATTGCTGGGAGGAAGTAACCGGGGCTGTCACTTCCTCCCAGCGTCTGATCTCATCACAGGGGGCCAGGTCGCACTGTTAAAGCGCCGCAGCACCGACCGTGCCCCCTGGTAATACTTTGCCATTGGGTGACCCTAACAGCATGGGCCACCAGATGGGCCCCTGAATGCATGGCCCTGGCGGTTATACAGCACAGGCGTTACATAGCCGGCGCACATCCTGGTCGCAGGGCCCCCAGGATTGTTCCATGGTGTCGTTGGTGCTAATAATACTTTGTTTGGAAGCTAATAGGTTTGAGGAATCAGATGCAGAACACAGTTGTAGCCAGCAGTGCAGATAGGATATGTTTCTGATATATGTCACAGAAACAAAACTAAGCATCAATTCTGGGTCTTGGGTGGTACACCCCTTACGATTTGGATAAGAGCACGTTTAAAAGGATACTATAAGCATCAAAACAACACTAGCTTAATCAAATTGTTTTTGTGTACTGATCCTGCCTCTTCAGTGTCACCGTTCAATTCTCTGCCGTTTAGGAGTTAAATCATTTTTGCTTCTGTTTTTGCAGCCCTAGATACACCTATCCTGGCTGTGACTCACACAGTCTGCGTGAGGAAAAAATGGCTTGATTTGCCATCAGATCTTCCAACGTTTTATCTCCTGATCTGTTAATTGAACTCTAATCACACTCATGAAACTCCTGCAGGGTTTTGAAGGCTTTTAACAGAGCAGTAGCTAGAAAATTCTAGATTAAACAGAATATGCAATAAATGAAGTGTAAACTTAAGACCTCTCGTTACAGGAAGTGTTTAGGAAGGTTGCAGGGAGCTGTGACTAGGGCTGCATGAACATGATTTAACATAATGTCAGAGAATTGAGATGTGAGATTGCAGGGGTATGATCTATACACCAAAACCACTCCTTTAAGCTAAAGGTATTTTAGTGCTTATTATGTCTCGTTATGTATTTTTTAATTTAATCTACCCCCAGAATTGGAAAAAGTCAGGAGTACATAAAGCATTAGAGTTGAACGTTGTGCAAGTGGCCTCCAGGAATCAAACCGGTCTAGACACAAGGAGGAGGTAGCTTGTTGTGCACAATACCTGGTTTGTGAGACATCTAGGATGTTTGTAGAGGTACTAATCAGACTGCATAGCTTATTTGAACATATATTCCACTGTAGGGGAGCAAATGCAACCATGTTTCAAACTTGAGATGTTGCAAGGAACACCCCCCAACCCCCTTATCTACCATACTATACAACACTTCATGGCATCACAAGAAAGTCTGCAGCAAAGCTTCTGCTTAGTTGATAACCTTGTATAAAACTGGATTTCACGAGAACACTTTGTAAAGTCAAGGACCTCCTATCTACCATGTCGTGAAGAGACTAGGATTTAAGAAAGGATGGTCACCATTACGTATGATGTGCAAAGATCCAACAGTAGACATGGTGACCAGATAAGATCAGATGGTACGAATGCAGACTTTTTTTTAGCACTAGATGTTTGAGATGGAGACGTGGTTTGGCATTGAATTGCTTGGTAACTGAGCATCTGAGTTAGCTGGAAATTAAGATCATGAGAGATCTCTATGTGAAGGAGGTGTAGGCAAACATTTCTACCTATGTACATTTACTATAACTAGACATTACAGTTGGCATGGAAAATGTTTTGCAAGTCATATTCACAGTCTAACGAGGAATAAAAATGTTCTATTTTTCTGTCCTTTTTGGTGGTAACAAGGTTCTATCAATGCATGAGCATTATATTCTTCTCTTGTGTTATATTTGAGAGTATTGAACTTATGGGCCATAATGGTCTGAAAGGAAGACTCAAGCTATAACTGTAATATGACATCCTAGGAACCACACAAGGCTGCTACCCGATCAGTTCATATTTAGTATCAAAACTAGAATCGTGATGTTTTCTTGAACCCAGACACCGCTCTCTCCCACCCTTACTTTATGTCTATATTTACATTTCTCTCTTTATGACAAGTGTTACAGACGCAGACTGCAACTTTTGTAATGGAATATTTGGTTATGTGGCTCAGTCATATTTGTTATATCTCTGCTAGTTCACGCATATGACATTGTTGAATACAGCATTTGGTCTCGCAGTATTCAATCTATTTGTGTTTCTCATGCCTCTCTTCAATCTCGTGGCACATGTCACATCTACTTGACCGTATTCTAAACACTTTGTCACTGTGACACCTGTCCCCTCAGCTCTGAGAAGGTCTGTTTACTGACCAGCACATTTTAGTGAGCGACAACTTTTAAAATCTAGATAAGAAGTTCTTAACCTTTTTTTTTTTTTTTTTGTCCTGACACGTAAAAATTTAAATTTCACAACCAATTCTTAAATGTTAAATTAATTAATCTTTTTCTGATGGCAATAAAGTACACAGCAAAATGATAGCTGCAAAACATCTTACATTCTTCTCAGTGTTAACAATTGCCCAATACGGCCTGTACAGTACTCAATTTACTATGAGCAGTTGCCCATGATTAAATGGTTAGGATGTGTTTAAACCAACGGAGAAGCGAAATAGAATGCGGACCCAATCTTAGGTCCTTACCAACAGGATTATTTACTAAAATGTCAGGAATTGAAACTGAATTCAAGGTAATTTCAAATTAGGCCAAAATAGAATAACTGAAAACAATGACTTGGAGATTTTATACAATTTAGCTACATTGTCCAAACATGTTAAAGGAACACTGTAGGGTCAAGAACACAAACATATTCCTGACCCAATAATGTTAAAACCACAGTCTAGCCATCCTGCCCCCGCCCCCCAAATATAGTAAAATCTTACTTTTATTGCAGTCTGCAGCTGCTGGCTCTGCCCTGATGTTCCTGCTTGGCTGACATCATCAGAAGTGATTATCTCAGCCATGATTCTACTCACCAGAACAAATACAATAAGCTGTAGTTGTTCTGGTGACTATAGTGTCCCTTTAAATTTTCTTTGAATCCACTTTGTATACCAAAAATTCGAAATTGTCCCAAATTTTGCCGTATATCATACGTCAATCACTTTTGTTTTTACTGTGTAAAGAAAGTAACGTAATTGGGTTTCACTATTTACAAGGACATGTGTACATGTGTAAAAATGTGTACATCAAAATCTATACAACAATAAAACTGCTCTATATTTATTTTTAGGGGTTCTGAAGGCATTGGAAGTTGATGATTAAAGATCCACAGCTTTACACGGAGGCAAAGAATCTTCAATGACCAATAAAGTATTGATAAAATATAATTTGAAAGTGTTTCAGTGAAGTGATAATGAATTCATTTAATGTGAACAATCTAAAATCTTAGGTCTTATTCTTCTATCCACTGCAACCACACAGGGTAATTTAAACATTCTGGACTGTTTGTGGTCCTAATAGACCAGTTCAATAGATTCCTGGGATATTCTGGTAGGTAGATAAGAGGATCAGGTATATGCAGCAAGACTCCCTAAAGATTTGAATTCCCATGTACTATTGTTTGCTAACCTTTGCCAATACATATCTTTTTGAACTATATTTCCCAGTCAGCCAGAGAATGATGGTAGTTGCAAGTCACCTGACAGCAGGGGGATGGGACCTATTGCACATGTGCAGCAAGCACCACTTTTGTATTAAGACTTCCTCCATAGGAATGCATTTTATAATGCTTTCATATGGAGTTTTGGGTGACACTGGATGTCCTCATGCATAGAGTGAGGATGTCCAGCATCCTAACGACCTGAAAGCCCCTCTAGTTAACTAGAAATGTAGTTAACCCTGCAGCAATGTAATTACTACAGTTTATGAAAAACTGCAATAATTACAATTGCACGGTTAACGGACCTAGGACACTGCACCCAGACCACTTCAATGAGCTGAAGTGGTCTGGGTGCCTATATTGCCCGTTTAAGCTTTGTAACAAGTTGTGCTTCTTACACAGCATATAATGCAAGGAGTCTCCCATCCCTTTCGTCAAAGACAAATTTGCTGATCAGTGCAGAGATTTAAAGGGGAATTACAACTTTAGGTCCACCTTCTCAGTGACATCTCACAGCAGTAAAGAATTACTCAAAGCACTATGACCTCTTCCGTGATATGAAGTGGTCATGGTGGCTGGCGCCAAAGCAAAACTCTGCACATACAGTGTTTAAACCTTCTACTGCCAGAGGTGAAACTCCACGCCAGCTTGGCCTCTGTGCTGGAACACATGTAATTTTTAGCTTTATTCATATTTTTTTGTTGTTGTTCAATGAGACCACCACAGCCTCTATTTACAGGAAGTGATCTCTCTATATTAGGCAGGTTTTGAACATTACCTGCAGAGAGGTGTAACTAGGGTGGCATAAACAAAAAGATTTAACTCCTAAATGTCAGTAAGACTGCAGGGGATGATCTATAAACCAGCACTGCTTCATTAAGCTAAAGTTGCTTTGGTAACTATAGTGTCCCTTTAAAAGATTAAACAGACGTCAAAAAAGATTAAACACAAAGCTGTTCAGTAGACTAAATGTCATAATACTATTTAATTTTCTCATTCATATCACAATAGAGGAATTCACAACTATTTACATCTCCATTGGCAGAAACAAGACAATTTCTAGTTTAGTAAATAACAGGCTACTGGGTAGTTTATATGCTATCGTATACATTGGCATTGAAATGGACTGTCAGGGTTACTCACTAAACTGGGAAAAGCCGATTTGAGATATATTTTCTAGTTTAACCATTTTGGTCTTGCGTATGAGAAGTAGTAAGAATTAATTCGGTATATGTAGTCTGCTGTATCCTGCAAACAGATCCCAAAAGTTACACATTACATAAAATATATGCATCTTATGTGAATTATTGAAAATAAATTTTAATGAAAAAATAGAAGTAGATAAATGGTACAATGTGGTCCATCCAGCAAAATTAGTTCATTAATGTTCTGATGACCCTTTCAGTGGTATCTTCTGCCCCCTATTTTCTGTCCATTGGGCTCTATAATCTTGTTTGGCTGGTTGTCGAAGATCCTGAGGGTTCCATCCTGATGGATGTGCAGAAACCTTTCTGGGAGATTGTTCAAGTAGGCAATACTATACTTCTTCTGCTCCACGTCTGTTGACACCTCTGGAGATAGGTGACACTGGTTTGGAAAGTATCTCTCCACAGTCATAAACACCCCATCCACTACCTCAGACGGGGGAACTGCAGACACCAGAAGGCCGCAACGAAGGTTTGTGGAAGAGTCCAGAAGAAGGGCGGAAAGGAATGCCCCATCAGTAGGGCTACAACCCGGAGACAGAAAAAGCTCCAACCCATCCAACAAAAGCAGGTACGGAGAGGGTGATGTAAGATGAAGGGAAGAAAGGAGTTGCAGGAGCTCTTCCAGTGTTTTTGGGTAGAGAAAGCGGATTTGCTGTATGAAGAAAAGCAAAGAGGGATTATGTCACAACCACGCATGGGCAATTATAAATAATTAGACTAAAGTAGAATACATCACATTGAATTGACCATAGTAAACTATTCATACAGACTACATTTTTAAACTGATGAATGTGTTTTAAACATTAAAACAACATAGTTCATAGCGTATTTGTTCTGAGCCTTTAAGATAAATGTTTAAAAGATCACTATAGTGTCAGGAAAACAAACTCGTTTTCCTGACACTATATAACCCTTAGGTCTCCCCCTCCCTAAGGATCCCCCTCCCTTGGCGCTGAAGGGGTTAAATCCCCTTCAGTTACTTACTTTAATCCAGCATCGGGCTCTCTCAGTGCTGGTGACCTCTCCTCCCACTCTGACATCAGCTCCCGAGTGAAGCAGTATGCGCATGCGTGGCCAGAGCCACGCGCACATTAAAACCGCCCATAGGAAAGCATTTCTCAATGCTTCCATATAGACGTTCTGCACGCTGAAGGCGATTTCCGCATTCAGCGTCGCAGAAGCGCCACTAGCGGCTGTCAGGAGGACAGCCACTAAAAGCTGGATTAACCCTGCTATGTAAACATAGCAGTTTCTCTGAAACTTCTATATTTACATCTGAAGGGTTAAAACCTGGAGAACATGGTACCCAGACCACTTTATTAAGCTGAAGTGGTCTGGGTGACTATAGTGGTCCTTTAAGTGAGAAATCAAGTGGGAACGTAAAAAGATTTTATTAATCAATACATCCTCTAGAGGGGGCTATAGCTCCTGTATATAGATATAAAAACTTTCACATAGCGGCACTACCCAGACATAAATAGTATGATTATACCTATGTTTGTTTATGTAAATTGCTTCTTTCTGTCCAACCAGCCTTTGTGAAATCCCAGATATATTTTCATTCCTCCTACAAATTGCTATGTCCAGAGTTCTGAACTCATGGGTGAGATTTCTTACCATGCTCTGAATTTTAGGAGAATTCAGGGAGATAGAGTAATCTACATGCACAGATTGCAAAGAATGCATTATATCCATCTCTCTCTAAATACTGCAAACGCATCTCCAATTGCATCATAATAGGAGCAAATTAGAGCCCTTTTAATGGGGCTCAGCCCAAAATGACGCAGTGTGAATGACTAGGAATTTGTATTCCTAGCACTATAGTGCCCTCCTCCAAAATTATTTGAGAGGGGGACCTTATGGGCAGTGAATCAATGCTTTATTATGGGGAAGGTGCAACAGGTGAGGATGTCCAGCGTCGTTTAAGGGACTCCGAGTCCGATAAACTCCCGGAACCGGCAATGTATGGGTAAAATAAAGAAGCAGGTGTAAGTATACATGTAGCTCCTAACTACATCCCCTTAGGAGATTATCAGAACTTCGTAAACAGACAACTGTCATCAAATTCTCATTTCTAGCTTTCAAAAAGTTTATTTCAGTTAATGAACTTAATGGTATATAAAAATAAAATATGTAGCCAAACTAACTATAGACAAGTTGAAGAATTTTGCAACTATGATTTCAATTTACTACAGAATTCAGAGAATAAACCAACTTGTTCAGTGAATTCTGACATTTACATGGTTCTTATTAACATAGATAGACTGATTATTGGTTATTAGAGCAGATAGTCGGCATTTTACCAATAATCAGTACCGGTTACTCGCCTCACCCAGTCACCACACGCCGTTTTCTGCATCCAGAAACTAGCGCCACCCAATGAAGTTCCACATCGGAATCTCACGTCACCTCTTTCTGGGAGTCCCCGCATGTGGAGCTCAGCTGAAGGCAGGGAAGTAAGACAGTGAATAATCTACTGTAATGTACTGGGCTGGCTGACAGTGAGAGGAGTGTGCGTGCGGTCATCAAACTCCTATCAGTAACAGCATTGTACATGCTGGGTTCTCACAGATCCCAACATGGACTGGCTGCCTTAGAGTGATGGTGTGATTGCGGCCAGCAGGATCAGTTGGTGCCAGATTTGAGTAGCAATTGTTAGTTTTTCAAAACTTTAGAAGTACAGAATATCAGTACGAGTTATCAGCCATCACTCCAAAAGGCGACCAAATCGGTATTTGCTTTGGAAAAAATAATATCAGATGATCCCCAATTAACATACACAGAAATGTATTGGAAAAAGAAACTGCACCTATAGAACTTGCTGGAGCATCTGAGCAAACACTTCAGCTGCAATTTACTGTCAAATTCTGGGATTTTTCAATACATTTTGCAGTTTGTAGCTATTTAGAGTTTAGTAGATAACACTATAGATTTTACACAATTAATGTGTGTAAGATAATATTAGAGGCAAATAACTTGATTTTTCTGCTTGAGCAAGTTGATGCAATGAATATATTTTTTAAATAAAACACACTCCAAGCACCATAACCACTAAATCAAACTGCAGTCGTTATGGTGCACAAGTGGTCTGTCTCGCACATCCATTGGCCCCTAGTAAGGTAAGCTATCAAACAGCTCCTTGGAGTGGTTATGGTCCTTGAAGTTTGTATGTATTATATATATTTATTTTATACTCAGAAATTAAAGGTTGCTGACCAGAGCAAACGATATGGATTAATAGAATAAGGCAGGTTTAAAATCTTCTCAAATATAGTTTGTAACTGACTGACATTAGAACTGTTGAGTTTACAATAACTGGGTTACCACAATAAAGATACTACAAAGATTGTAGGGTAGAGAGTCCCCCCAATGTGTTCCTCTTTTCACCATGCACACCCCAGCCCAGTAATAGGCACCTTGAGTATGAGTGGGTCCCTTGCTAGCTTGCCTGCTCCAGGTAGTTTCTGCAGGGGGTCTCTGGACAGGTAGATCACAGGCCCTGCACCTTCCTCAGCAGCCACAACAGCGGCCATGAAAAGGAGAGCTGTCTTCCCGCAATCATGGGGTCCAATGAGTAACAGTGGGGGCCCCTGAGGGCCACACAGAGCAGAGCAGACATAGCCAGGCCCCTGGAGGCCAGTGATGGAGGACTCCCTGTCCTGGGGGGTTGGGTGGTGTGATGGTCCAGGTGGTGGCAGCCCAGGGTCACACCTCACATGGCTGGTGTCCAGGAGCTCATCCAGGACCCTCACAAACACCTGAGCCATGGAACAACACGTGGGTATCGCTTAGCCCCGCCTTCTCGGTGCCTATTGGCTGTGAGACCGGAAGTAGAGACATAGATCAGCGTCTGCGTGTCAGGCCTCGATGTCGCGCAGACTGCACAGTGTGTGAATAAAACTGAGGCTTGGAACGCGGAAGTGTCAACCTTGGTCTGTGCATCATGTCATTTATGTGCTATAGTCTGACTGTACATGGAGAGGAGAGGATTTTAAGAGCCAGCTAGTATTTAAATCTAAATGCTCAGTAATAGCTTCAGTATCCATTCAGTGCAGTATAAGGGCTGCCAGACCCAGCTGCTGTTGAATGGCACATGAAGCATGCTGCCTTGTTGTATGTGGAATTAATATGCTGCAAGAGGGAAATCAAATAGTCAATGAACAACCTGTTGGAATTCTAACTGCATGAAAGGGTTACCCCAAGGACCATGACCACCACAGCCTGCTGTAGTGCTTATGGTGACTGGAGTACCTTGGCGCTTTTTCACAGTAATGGGCAATCGGTTTTAAAAACAGTTTTTCGTGTTACATGGGTACCAGCCGTGTCTTCTTTGCATCAGGAAAAAGAGAAGTTGGATGTCTATACTGCAATGCATTCATTGGCTCAGAGGGTCGGCTGATCACTCTCAGTCAATGGCTGCCCCTCCATGCATAGAAATAGGAACATAGTTGAAAGTAGCCAATCTGGAACTTTTGTTCCAGGATGGCTAGTGACCCTCCAGCAGCAAAGGGGTGAAACTCTGTATAAAATGCTATAATACAGACTCCAGACACCATGAACACTTCAAATCAGTGAAGGGGACAGGGTACTTGAAGTAACCCTTTAATGAACTGATTTCTATTCTGCATGATACGACTTCAGGGCAGCACTATTCATGAACAAGCAAAGTGTTCTAGAACATATGTAGGATCTGGCGTTGCTAAATGGGATTCCGTGAATGAATATAGTTTCAATATTAAAGGACCACTATAGTGCCCTGAGGGTGCCCCCACCCTCAGGGTCCCCCTCCCGCCGGGCTCTGGAAAGGGGAAAAGGGGTTAAAACTTACCTTTTTCCAGCGCTGGGCGGGGAGCTCTCCTCCTCCGATCCTCCTCCGTTCCTCCCCGTCGGCTGAGGAGGACGGGGAGCTGCGCGCACATTCAGCCGGTCACATAGGAAAGCATTCATAATCCTTTCCTATGGACGCTGGCGTGCTCTCACTGTGAAAATCACAGTGAGAAGCACGCAAGCGCCTCTAGTGGCTGTCAATGAGACAGCCACTAGAGGAAATAGGGGAAGGCTTAACCCATTCACAAACATAGCAGTTTCTCTGAAACTGCTATGTTTATGAAAAAATGGGTTAACCCTAGCTGGACCAGGCACCCAGGCCACTTCATTAAGCTGAAGTGGTCTGGGTGCCTAGAGTGGTCCTTTAACTGAATTCCATAACCTTGCAAGCACGTGGCCTTTAGGCTCACATCATTGCATGGTTGATTTAACCCCTTAAGGACACATGACATGTGTGACATCATGATTCCCTTTTATTCCAGAGGTTTGGTCCTTAAGGGGTTAAAGGAACACTTGGGGCATGCCAACCTGGTGACTCTGTCATATTTGTGACAGTTTACGGTGCTGATTTCAATAGAAATACAAAAAGAAAAGTCCTGCGCTCACTCCCATCCAGGGCTCGAGTCCTGCAGGAACGCATGGGAACGGCGTTCCTGCACTTTTTCCAAAGCAGGAACGCCGTTCCCGTTACCTGTCCTGCAGGACCGGCCCTGCTACCTGCACAGAGGGGCCGTCACACGCTGTGTTCCCTCTCCAGCTATAACTCTCGCGAGACCCGCGGCTGTTACCATGGCAACGCTCCGCACAGGCGAGTCTCGCGAGAGTTAGAGCTGGAGAGGGAACACTGCGTGTGATGGCCTCTCTGTGCAGCGGCTGGCTCCCTCCACTGGACCACCAGGCGATCTCCCCCCTCCCTGACAAGGTAAGAAGCAGGGAGGGGGGAATAAAATAAACAAATATATAGACACATAAAGTAAGAAAATGCTTCCCCCCCCCACATCATCCAGCACTCACTCACACACCCATCATCCAGCACTCACTCACACACCCATCATCCAGCACTCACACACCCATCATCCAGCACCCACACACCCATCATCCAGCACTCACTCACACACCCATCATCCAGCACCCACACACCCATCATCCAGCACTCACTCACACACCCATCTTCCAGCACTCATCCATCACCAGCACACACATCATCCAGCACTCACACACACCATCATCCAGCACCACTCACACACCCATCATCCAGCACTCACACACCCATCATCCAGCACCCACACACCCATCATCCATCTTCACTCACACACCCATCATCCAGCACACACACCATCATCATCCAGCACACTCACACACCATCATCCAGCACTCACCAGACACCCATCATCCAGCACTCACTCACACCCATCATCCATCACCACACACCCATCATCCAGCACTCACTCACACACCCATCATCCAGCACTCACTCACACACACCATCATCCAGCACTCACTCGCACACCCATCATCCAGCACTCACTCGCACACCCATCATCCAGCACTCACACACCCATCATCCAGCACTCGCACACACATCATCCAGCACTCGCACACACACATCATCCAGCACTCACACACACACATCATCCAGCACTCACACACACGTCACCCAGCGCGCGCGCACACATCATCCAACACACGCACACACTGCATTCATTATACACACTCTTCACTCACTACAAACACACTACATTCACTATACACCCTCTGCATTCACTATACACACTCTGCATTTATTATGCACATTCTGCATTCACTATGCACAATCTGCATTCACTACAAACACACTACATACACTGCATTCATTGTACACACTCTGCACTCACTACAAACACACTAAATTCATTATACACAATTTGCACTTACTACAAACACACTACATTCATTATACACACTCTGCACTCACTACAAACACACTACATTCAATATACACACTCTGCATTCATTATACACACTGCACTCACTACAAAAACACTACATTCACTATACACACTGCATTCACTACAAACACACTACATTATACACACTGCACTCACTACAAACACACTACATTCATTATACACACTCTGCACTCACTACAAACACACTACATTCACTATACACACTCTGCATTCATTATACACACTCTGCACTCACTACAAAAACACTACATTCACTATACACACTGCATTCACTACATTTATTATACACACTGCACTCACTACAAAACACTATTCACTTACTGCATTCACTACAAACACACTGCATTCATTATACACACTCTGCATTCACTACAAACACACTACATTCATTATACACACCCTGCACTGCACTATATGCATAGGAGTGTAATTTTTTAAAGGGGGGGAAATCTTGGGTGAGTTCCCACACTTTTTTCCCCAGGACTTGACCCCTGCTCCCATCACTCCTGGGCGGCTGCAATGACTACAGTACACATCAGCTAATACATATAGTAAAAACTAAAGAAAAAAGTTACCTGCGCTCTCTCCTTAATCCCTATGTATATTTAAACATATGGAGGTCAGTTAGTTACTCCAATGGCCACTGGAGGGAATGCCCGCCTGCCAACGTCAAGGCAGACCCGCCTAGACGGGTCCTACTCTGACCCTTTACCTTGCTTCCTTGAGCTTCTGGCAAAAATATCTCTCAATAGAAAATGTATTAAAGCTCATCAAGGAGCATTGAAAAGCCGTGATTGCAAGTGTGAACTCTCGCGTCTCCAGCAGAGTAGGGAAAGGATGGAGTGCTTGTAAAGGCTGCAGACAGCAGGTGTACAGTTTTTGCAAGCTGTTTTTCATAGACCTCCAAAGAAAACATGCAGAAATAAAAATACATGCATGTTTCCTTTTGTTGTATATCTACAATGTTGTTAAAAATGTTTTATACATTTTCAGTGGAGCTTCTGGGTGCGACCAGTACCCGACAGGTCCGAGGTAAGGTGTCAAACCGTTCTCATACCCTGGTGGCCGTCAGGGCAATCCTTGCACCTTAGCAACTAAAGCTAACTGAAGAGTTTGTGAGGCTTGGAGTGTTCCTTTAAAGATCAATGGCAATAAAGGCTATCTATTTTTTTTCTGTTTTTTATTCTACTTTTCATTTCTTTGTGTGTGTGTGAAGGGTGAAGGGTGTGTGTGAGAGAAAGGTGCAGTGTGTGTGTGAAGGGTGAAGGGTGTGTGTGAGAGAAAGGTGCAGTGTGTGTGTGAAGGGTGCAGTGTGTGTGTGTGTGTGAAAGGTTCAGTGTGTGTGTATGAAGGGTGCTATATGTGTGTGAAGGGTGTAGTGTGTAGGGTTGCTGTAAGTGTGTGAAAGTTGCCGTGCATGTGTGAGGGTTGCCGTGCATGTGTGAGGGTTGCTGTGCATGTGTGAAGGGTGCTGTGCATGTGTGAAGAGTGCTTTGCATGTGTAAGGGGGGCAGTGTGTGTGTGTGTGTGTGTGAGGGGTGTAGTGTGAGTAAGGAGGCTGTCTGTGTTTGTGAGGGGGCAGTGTGTGAGGGGTGTAGTGTGTGTTTGTGTGTGACTTGTACATAGAGTCTATGCTGTGTGCAGGTGAGTGAGATGTGAATATCTATTTTAATGTCTCCCTTCCCTTTTACCAGGTAGGGGGGATATAATGCTGCAAGACCTGGTGGTCCAATGGGGTATGTTCACTTTAGCCTGCAGACTGACTCTCCTGCCCTCCTGTGAACGCAGCACTGTATCGGAGCTTTGCCATGGTAACATGCGGAAATGCTCCGACCAGCCTGCTCGCTTGAGGAACACTGAGCCTCCCAGGCCCTTCCCTCCCTCTGCTGGAACTAAGTGCCAGCGGCCCGGTGAGGGAGACCAGCCAGAGAGGGCTTACAGCAAGGTCCCTCAGGGGAGATGAAATGATCTCCCCTGCCGGTCTTGGTCCATGGCCATCAAAGCCCACTGGGCTTTTTCTG